CCCTATGCTATGGTCAGTGCATTCCGCATGATAGCAGTGGTACTGCATCCCTATGCTATGGCCAGTGCATTCCGCATGATAGCAGTGGTACTGCACCCCTATGCTATGGTCAGAGGACTCACCAGGGGCCACAGATATTCCCCCTTCACTGAAAAGCACAAAACAAAACAAGCAATGTAAAAATAGGTCAAAAGGGAGATCAAATGGTAATATGAGGGGACACTCCCAAGAAACTGATGCTCATTTGTGTTTTGCTGTGAGGGTGATAGTACATTTGCAGTTCATTCCACCAGGTCAGACTGTTAATCAAATTTTCTATTTAGAGGTTCTGAAAAGATTGCCTAACTGTTCGACAAAAAAGGACTAATTTGTGGCAGATGGGAGACTGGTTTTGGCACCTGCTCAAGCAGCCATTTCAGGGTTCCAGTTTTGGGCAAAAAACAGCTTGCCTCCCCTGCCCACGCACCTTACTCACCTGACTTTGGTCCATGTGACTTCTTTTTGTTTCCGGGAATGAAGAGGGACATGAAAGGAAAGCAATTTGAAGACATAGAAGAGGTGAAGAAAAAAACAAGGGAGGTGCTGTCAGCTATCCAAACAGATGAGTTTGAAAAATGTTTCTAAGAATGGAATTGCAGATTTGACAAATATATTAAGTGTAATGGTGGGTATGTTGAAGGTGATGATGTTGCTTTGTAAAAAAATTTAAATACATAGCTTTGAAAGAAACAAATCTTGTTTTGGGGGTACCTCTCATTGTTCCATGTTTAATTTAACTACATTTGCTATAATCTACTTACAATGCTGTCTGATAAGATTATGACATCCCTCCACTATAATCAAAGGACTCACCAGAGGCTTCATCCACTTGTGGACTCTGCAAATGGACATTGAAATTCCACTGTCATCTATGCCTTCTGCAAACCAGGTGTTCACTTTTGTATTAGTCTAGGTACTTTGGAGAAACAAATCCACAGCGACTCATGTATCAGAGAGAGTTTTATGTAAAGAAAAGTTGCATCACGAAAACATCCCAACCCATTGCTGCCCAAGCCCACAAGTCCAACATTAACCCATTAACCCTACACCAGTCCACAAAGTCCTCCACCTCACAAAACAGAGGCAATGACACCGGCTGCAGGAGGAAAGCTGAGTCAGTGAACGAATAAGCATCTCAGCACTGGCAGGGGTCTCCACACAGCTGCTCCAGCACCCAGGACTGCATCGGAATAGGTCCATGTAGCTTCTTCTTGGGGATGTCTTGTAGGAAGTCAATCTTGCAAGCTGAAGCAGGGAACTGCTAAGGCAGCTGCACCCGGTGCAACCATCACAAAACAAGAGACCCGAGAACTAGAAAGGCGAGGCTCACCACCCATTTATCCCTCCGCCTTTCAATTAGCCCCACATGTGATTATCGGCCAGGCTGGCACAATTAACTAACTCAACTTTTTTAACTCTTATACCATTTCCTCTGGATTTAGATTTTATTCTTTACCATCCTTGGGTCACACGGACTGGTGTGTTTCTTCCATGTAGACTTAGTTGACAGCCTCATTTGGGTGGCTACTTGTTTGAAGACAAGCTTTTAAGACCCAAGCACTACTACTGATAACCAGATACCATGTAGTTTCTTCACACTTTCTCTAGTACACATATATGCAGTGATCTCTTCATGAGGACAAGCATCAAGCAAGGCCATGTCATAAGAACTAATTGTTGGCTCTCTGCTCCTCCTCGTGTGACAGGCAGCTGCCTCTCCCGTTCCCATGCAGTCCCAGCCGCATTCCGGAGACACGATGGTGAAGGTCAAAGTGAACGGATTTAGCTGCATTGGGCACCTAGTCACCAGGGCTGCTTTCAATTCTGGCAAAGTGGATATTGTTGCCATCAATGAGTCCTTCATTGATCTAAACTACATGTTCTACATGGCAAGTTCAATGGCACTGTCAAGGCTGAAAATGGGAAGCTTATCGTCAATGGGAAGGCCATCTCCATCTTCCAGGAGCGAGATCCCACCAACATCAAGTGGGCTGAGGCCGGTGCTGAGTATGTCGTGGAGTCCACTGGTGTCTTCACCACCGTAGAGAAGGCTGGGGCTCACTTGAAGGGCGGTGCCAAAGCGTGATCATCTCTGCCCCTTCTGCTGATAACCCCATGTTTGTGATGGGCGTGAACCACGAGAAGTATGACAACTCCCTCAAGATTGTCAGCAATGCCTCCTGCACCACCAACTGCTTAGCCCCCCTGACCAAGGTCATCCATGACAATTTTGGCATCGTGGAAGGACTCATGACCACAGTCCATGCCATCACTGCCACCCAGAAGACCGTGGATGGCCCCTTTGGGAAACTCTGGTGTGATTACCATGGGGCTGCTCCGAACATCATCCTCGCATCTACTGGCACTGCCAAGACTGTGGGCAAGGCTATCCCGGAGCTGAATGGGAAACTGACTGGCATGGCCTTCTGTGTCCCTACCCCCAATGTGTCCGTCGTGGATCTCACCTGCTGTCTGGAGAAAACTGCCAAGTACGATGACATCAAGAAGGTGGTGAAGCAGGTGGCCGATGGCCCCCTAAAAGACATCCTGGGATACACCAGGTTGTCTCCTGTGACTTCAACAGTGACACACACACACACCCCCACACACACTCTTCTACCTTTGATGCTGGGGCTGGCTTTGCCCTCAATGACCACTTTGTCAAGCTCATTTCCTGGTATGACAATGAATTTGGCTACAGCAACAGTGGTGGACCTCAGGATCCACATGGCCTCCAAGGAGTAAGAGCCCCCCTGGACCACCAGTCCCAGCAACAGCACTAGAGGAGGAGAGGCCCTCAGCTGCTGGGGAGTCTTTGCCCCTCATTCAATCCCCAACACACTGAGAATATTCCATCCAGACCCCTGAAGGAAAGGTGTGGGGGGCGCTTAGAGAACTCAACTTTGTCATGTACCATCAATAAAGTACACTGTACCCAGAAAAAAAAACAACTAATTGTTCTTAAATTGAGGCTAGAATTAAGTGGAAGCCCAAAATCCATTGATGTATCTATGGTTTATAAAGTCTTTGGGTCACCTTGGAGACATCATTGTCATTTTATGTTAGAAAACATTATCAATCATCCCCAAGTCATCATTTCTATTGCCATCGAGTCAATGCAGATGCCTAGTGATGCTTTAGGCAAGGTAGAACTGCTCCTGTGAGTTTCTGAGACTTCAAATATCACAGGAGTAGAAAGTCTTATCCTCTCCCAGCAGAGCTGGCTGGTGGTTTCGAACTGCTGACCTTTTAGTTAGCAACTCAGTGAGTACCCACTATGCATTTATAGTAACACCTATTTCTTGTGCAGGTATGGAAGCTTAATAGCACATCTGTACAGCCTGATTAGCATTAAAAAAAATTTTTCTAAGGCTGTATTTTGTCATTGAATTTAGAAAAAGGTTTCCAATAAAGAAACCAAATGTAATAACTATTGTCACTGTTTTTAATCATAAGATTATGTTCCTCTGATGAAATCCCTTTAAATGTGCTTTGATAATCTCTCTTTATGATTGTGGCTTAAACCTTAACTTTTGAAAAATTTAAAGTAGGAAAGTGTTTCAGTGGTAGTAGGTTTACTAAGTGAAACATTGCATGAATACTAAATGTAATAGTGTTTTAATTTATATAGTAAAAAATCCTTAGAAGTAAAAATCGCGTAGTCCAAATTATTGTAATACTATGTTCACAATTAAGAAATTCATAGATGAAAGAGATACAAAAGTATTAATGTTAATATTGAAATTATTTTCAAATTTTATATCATTTGCTCATTACTTACATATAAAAATGTGATATTTTCTTATTGCATAATGTTCATATTTCCTCCAAGCTTAGCTAACAGTTTGGTTCATAGTCATATATGAAAGTTGTTTATTTTGATCATCTCAACCCCTTCAGGTTGCATCTGGAGGCGTGGCAAGTAACATGTATATCCGAAAAGCACTGGAAGTTGTAACAGACCTAACTCAGTGCACTTTGTTGTGCCCTCCTCCCAAGCTGTGTACTGACAATGGCATTATGATTGCATGGTAAGCTGTGGAGTATATGCCTTGCCCTCTTAATTGTGGACATTACGCTTGCCATTTTATCATGATAAACCTACTTTCTTTAAATCTTGGAGTTACTTACTTTATTTTAATAACTTTTAGGAACGGCATTGAAAGATTACGTGCTGGTTTGGGCATTTTATACAACCCAGAAGGCATCCGCTATGAACCAAAGTAGGTGATGGTATTTCTAATCATTATGTAACTTATACTTTAGAAGTTAAAACCTGTAGTTTGCTTTTATATATGAGAAATTTATTGACGTTCTGGAAGTACTTAAAGGAGAGTCACATTAATTTCTTTCATTAAAATCACTAATTTCTTTCATGTCAAGAATGAGAAGTATTTTTGCTACAGGATCAAATTGTAAAAGTTTTGACAAATCATAGATAGAAACGAACATTGGATATTGGTAAAGAATCCCATCATTTAGGACCAGAATGGAAACCATGCCATCCGATTTCCAATATCAGGATCATCTCAGGACCAGCTAAGATATATTTGAGGAAAACGTGCAAAAGCATTCAAGTGTGAAGCTGGGTTGGAATTATTCTCCTTCACAGGCAGCTGAGAAACACCCCCACCACCACCACCACCCCCACCCCCTGACACACAAAATTAAATAATTAATTAATAGCTGTTTTCTGTAACTCTTTCTACTCCCAAATCAAAATTCCAAAACTTTTTTTTCCCTCTTTGCTATTAAATTCTAGTTTAACAGTTAATATTGGACAGGTAAAGGATGATTATATGTTATACTCCAACATAGTTCTGTTTGAATGTTACTTCATGTGATGCTTTAAGACTTGTAAACATGATACCTCATAGCCGTGCTGCGTGAATCACTTAAGGCTGGTCATAAGTGAACATTGTAGCATCAGGAGGAATCCCTTGTGTTAACAGAGTGGCCTAAGATAGAGTATGTCATCTGACCCAGCTGTGTCCTCCTGTGGTGGGAATATGATGGCCTGTTTCTTGGTTGGGCTCCACACAAGGGTTATCTTGTGCAACGTTGTAGAAAAGCAGATAAGAGGTCACATTATTTACTGAGGAGGAATATAAAGGGTGGGAGCTAAAGCCTCTTCCTGTCAATACTGTCAAAAGAAGATAAAAAGGGGTAAGTCAGGTTCTCAAAGTTCAGAGCAGAATTGACAGAAACCTGGAGAAGTTCTAAAATAGAGTGGCCACTTGTTTGACTGCAGCTAGAAGATAAAATGTTTTGACCCTTTATCTTCATCAGGATTTATACAACTTCTTTCTTTTTCATTTTAAAACAAATTTGTTTTTGATATTTGAAAGCAACAGAACTTACACTGTCAGAATTTTAAGCGGATATATTCTGTGGAACTGGTGACACAACATGAAAAATAATGTGATTGTGTGCTTGTTTTGCAGATGTCCTCTCGGATTAGATATATCAAAAGAAGTTGGAGAAGCTGCCATAAAAATACCACAATTGGTCATGAAGATTTGATGTTTACTTTACAAAAAAACCTCTACAGGTAGTATTTTGAACTTAAATTTTAGTCTCTATTTTTTATATCAAATTGTAGAAGACATTATATTAGTAATTCATCAAGAGTATCTTTGTTCATTCCATTTCTGTACTTAATCCTTAACTTTTTATGAGAAACTATATTAATGTACGTATTGTATTAATATATAAATTTATATATTATATAATTTATAAGACTGTAATTTTTATTATAAAAATCCAAAGTAAATACCCTCATGAAGGAATCACTGAAGATAAGGGTATAATAACTGAGTGTGGTGAAGAAATCAGATAGTGCCCTGACTTAAAAGTTTGTCTAAAATCAAGCACCCATCTAAGTGAGGTGATAGCTAACCTCACGAAGAAGCACATCAGCTTGTGTAAACCAAGGATTATAAGTAACAAAATTCAACATTAAAGGGGGAAATTTATTAGAGCTTAAATTATGAACACTAGTTTGCAGAAGGTTATAGATAACAGAGAAAGCCTGAATCCATTTGCCCAGACTCCGTGGGAAATAAGCCTCCATTGAATGCCATCAGACCATTTAGAGTACATCAGGAAGTGAATTATTTCAGATATAGTAGGTTAAAATTGAACATTTTATCATTTGTTTTCCCTTTCAGCCCATCCTTGTTTTATTGTTTTTTTCTTCTGCATCCTTTTGGATTGAAAAAAACTTAACTGATGTCATTGGACAGTTGTATAGTTGCATCACTCAAGCCATGGTAGTTTCCATTTGTTTCATATGCATGTGAAAGCTGGACAAGGAAAACTGGAGAAGAATTTGTGCTTCGAATTATGGTGAACAAAGTTGCATCTACCATGGGCAGACAGAGAATGAACAGATTTGTCTTTGTACAAGTATATCCAGCATGCTCCTTAGAAGGCAGGATGATGAGATTTCATCTCACATAGTTTGGACATGTTATCAGGGGGCCCAACCAGTGGAGAAGAAAGTGCTGCTTGGTGTTGTTGGGTGCCTTCAAGTCAGTTCCAACCTATAGCAACCTTAAGCACAACAGAGTGAAACACTGCCTGGTCCGGAGCATCCTCACTGCTGTTCCTATGCTTGAGCACATTGTTGCAGCCACAGTGTCAATTAATCTCCTGAGAGCCTTCCTCTTCTTCACTACTCTTCTGCTTTACCAGTGATGATGCCCTTCTCCAGGAACTTCTCTCACTTGACAAACGTGTCCAGAGGATGAAAGGTTCCTCTAAGGAGCTTTCTGGCCATACTTCTTCCAAGACAGATTGCTTTGTCCTTTCAGCAGTCCACGGAACTTTCAATTTTCTTCTCCAGCACCACAATCCAAATGCATTGATTCATGTATGTTGTTTTTTATTCAATGTCCAACTTTCACATGCATATGAGGCAATTAAAAGTACCATAGCTTGGGTCGGGTGGACCTTATTTTTTTACTACCACAATCAGTTTTGTTTATTTCTAATGTTAATCATTTTATTAGGAGCTCTTACAGATATTATAACAATCCATAACTCAGATTAAGCATAATTTACAATGGCTACCATCTTCAGTTTAAAAACATTTTCTTTCCTCTTGAACTCTGTTAGCAGCTCACCTAGATCCTCTCCCTTCTCCATTCTACCCCCCAGGAACCCTTATTATACGAGAGCATAGCCCCCCCAAAAAATGGAAAAAAGCTTCTCTGGGCAAAACTTTTGTAGTACATATTTTTCCCACTAGGTGAACATTAAGCAATTTGCTATGAGTTAGTGCACCCAGTGGCATAGCCTGGGAAGGTTCTCTCTGGTCACAGTGAATTTTTTTGTAAAAGCAGTTTCATTCGAACTTCGTTTTCTATGAAGGCCGACTTAAGAGAACAGTGCAGCTGTGAAATTTTGTTTCCTGCTTGGGAAAAATGCCCGAGAATCTTTGTGATGTTGAAAGTTTACAAGGACAGCGCTATAGGAAAAAAATGTATGAGTGATTTTGTTTCAAAAGAGGTGAAATGTTGATTGACAACAAACCTCATTGTGGACATCTGTCAACTTCCCAGACAGATGAAAATGTTGACTTGGGAGTTCATTCCACCAGGTCAGACTGTTAATCAAGCTTTTTAGTTAGACGTTCTGAAACGATTGTATAACTGCGACAAAAGACTAATTTGTGGTTTTGCCTGGTTTGCCACCACAATAATACACCGGCTCACGCAGCCATCTCAGGGTGCCAGGTTTGCACAAAAATCAGTTTGCCTCTCCTGCCCACACACCTTATTCACCTGACCTTAGTCCATGTGACTTCTTTTTGTTTCTGGGAATGAAGAGGAACATTAAGGGACAGCGATTTGAAGACAGAGAAGAGGTGAAAGAAAAAAACAAAGGGGGTGCTATTAGCCATCCAAACAGATGAGTTTGAAAAATGTTTCTAAGAATGGAATCGTAGGTAATCAAGCGGCCATCAAACTCAAAAGCAACAAAGCCCACATGGAAGAAGCCACCAGCCTATGCAACCACGAGGTGTCGAAGGGATCAGGTATAAGGCATCATCAGAACAAAAAATCTTACCATAGTGAATTATGGGGGGAGTGCAGAGTGGAGATCCAAAGCCCATTAGTAGGCCACTGGAGATCCCCTTGCAGAGGGGTCTGGGGAGGAGATGAGCCAGTCAGGGTACGATGTAACAACGATGAAAAATACAACTTGTTCTCTAGTTCCTAAATGTTTCCTCCCCGCTCCCACTACCATGACTCGAATTCGACCTTGCAAGTCTGGCTAGACCAGAGGATGTACACTGGTACAGATAGGAACTGGAAATACTGGAATCCAGGGCGGATGATCCCTACAGGACCAGTGGTGTGAGTGGCGAAACAGGGAGGGGAGAGGGAGAGTGGGTAGGAAAGAGGGAACCAATTACAAGGAACTATATGTGACCTCCTCCCTGGGGAATGGACAACAGAAAAGTGGGTGAAGGGAGACATCGGACAGGGCAAGATATGACAAAATGCCAATTTATAAACTATCAAGGGCTCATGAGGGAGGGGGAAGCGGGGAGGGAGGGGAAAAATGACCTAATGACGGTTTAAGTGGAGAGGAAATGTTTTGAGAATGATGAGGGCAATGAATGTACAAATGCGCTTTACACAATTGATGTGTGTATGGATTGTGATAAGAGTTGTATGAGCCCCTAATAAAATGATTTAATAAAAATAAAAAATCAAGTAAAAAAAAATGGAATCGTAGATTTGACAAATGTATTAAGTGTAATGGAGAGTACTTTGAAGGTGATAAGGTTGTTTTGTAAAAAAAAAATGTAAGTACTTAATTTTGAGGGGGTGGGAACGGGTGTGTTTTGTGCAGCCCCTCGTATATTTATTTATTTATTATTATTACCATAGCTTGCACCATCCAATGTATGCATTCACCTGCATCTGCAGTTTTTGTTATTCGTTCCCCTCAAGTGGGGTTATACAGTCATCATTGCTGTCAGCTCTCCGGTCCTGTCTGCCCCCCTCTCTTCCCGTATCCTCAGGGAATCATTACTCCCATTACTGTTTCTGAAGGGTTATCTATCTTGACTTTCATGCATCCAATACTAATTATGCAACATGTCTAACAAGACTAATGAGGTAAAACAAAGACTATAATAGTAGGGGGAGGAAATATTAAAGAAACAAGAGGATGGGTTTGTGATCATCATCAGGTGCACCTTATTGTTCAGAGTAACATCCTTGCTTTTCAGTACTCTCATGAGGTCTTGTCCAGCAGATTTACCTATGCAACCCGTCTTTTAATCTCTTGACTGCTGCTTCCAATAGCATTGATTGTGGACCCAAGACAAAATCCTTTACAACTTCAACCTTTTCTAAATTTATCATGATGTTAACTATTGGGCCAGCAGTGAAGATTTAGGTCTTTAAGTTGTAATCCGTGCTGCAGGCTGCAATTCTTGGACTTCATCAACAAGTGTTTCAAGTCCTCATCACTCTCAGCAAGCAAGGTTGTATCATCTGCATATTGAAGGTTGTTAAGCCTCCAATCCTGATGCCTCATTTTTCTTCATATAATCTGATTATTTGCTCTGCATACAGATTAAAGAAGTATGTTGATATGATACAACCCTTTCACACATCTTTCCGGATGTTAAACCATGGAGTATTCCCTTGTTCTAAGTTCCTCATGAACACAATCAAGTGTTCTGGAATTCTCATTTTTCTCAAGGCTATCCATAGTTTGTTATGATCCACACAGTTGAATGCCTTGGAAAACTCAATAAAACACAAGGAAATATTTTTCTGGTGTTCTCCGCTTTCACCCAAAATCCATCTGCCATCAATAATGATATCCTTTCTTCTGTGTCCTTTTCTGAATCTGGCCTGAACCTCCCTGTCAATGTACTGCTACAGCCTTTGTTGGATGATCTTAAGCAAAGTGTGCTTGCATATGCTATCAATAATATTGTTCTATAATTTGAGCATTCTTGGGTTTTGGAATGGATGCAAATATGAATCTCTTCCAGTTAGTTGGCTGAGTAGACAACTGAGTGCTTCCAGTGCTTCATGAGCTTGTTGAAACATCTCATTTGGTATTCCATCACTTCCTGGAGACTTGTTTTTTAACCAATGATTTTAGTGCAGCTTGAACTTCTTCCTTCAGCACCACTGGTTCTTGCTCATCTGTTATCTCCTGGAATGGTTGCATGTCGACCAGTTCTTTTTCTATATTCTTTCCATCTTTCTTTAATGCTTGGTAAAGATGCTTGGTAGACCACCAAAAAAAAAAAAGAGAGAGAGAACCTGCAGTAAAATGGACTCAAACATAGCAATGATTATGAAGTGGCACAGGACCGTGCAGTATTTTCATGCTTTTTAGCAAGGGGTTACTATGAGTCAGAACTGACCTGATGGCACCTAACAACATTACAATCAGAGTCCACATAAACTATGAAAGAAAATTTACCGCGATTTCTTCTTACGGTCACACACTTTTAAGATCGGCAGTATATACTATTTTTAATACATGTAACTTCGTATACATGTTCTACACAGCCCCGATAAAAACTGGGTAAGATAGCAAGATCCTCATGGCAGGAACTGAGCAAAGTAGACAGATAAAAAGGGGGCTTCCTTTAAAGGAAAAACTGAAGCTCAGCTTATGTTTCTGTATTGCATCAATCTACCACTGTAAAATATGAGCAGGAGGCATCACTAAAACGTGCTCTTATTAGACACAGAATATCCTTAGGGCAAAACCATGAAGAATACTGTGGTATTAAGCCACAAATATCATCATCAAATGTACTCTATAGAGATTAGTAAACACTGGTGGCCACATTTTTAGTTAGACTTCAGTTATTTTGATGAGCAATTCAGATTTTATTTTTAAACAACTGCTTTGAAAGGGTACATGTCACGTTCTAGAAGCCTCATGCGTTGGTACTGTTTGTTATTATAGTGAGCACTGAAGTGAATCAGACCTATTTAGCCCAGCATACCAATTTTAAAATATTGCTACCACATAGATTTAAGAGTAGATGTTTTATTACAGAAAATTTTACTTATTTTTTAACCATATTTCTGCCTGATGTTAAATTTCAGTAGGCATGCTAAGGAAAAGTTGTTTAGTGTCAATATCAAGAAAATCCATTTTAAAGGATTGCTCAGGAATCCTTTCAAACTACATGTTTGTATAAGGCATCTGGAGGCTCCACGTTGACATTTTGCACATGTTTCCCAAGTTGACTCAAAACCACTATTCTTGGTCTTGAGACTTTTATAATGTCTGACGAAGATGAAGACAAAAAAGAAAAAATATTATGAGAAACAGCAGCTTCTTTTGTCTTTCTGAAGAGTCCCATGAAATTTGTTACAGGAGGTAATAAAGTCAAGGAATCTTTTGGTTGAATTTTAGGTATTAATTTTCTTCGGTGTTCTTTTCCTAAAAATAAGAGAACCACAATTGAATTTCTCTTTGTTAAGCCTAGCTATAGTCTCATTGCTAACAGTTTTACATAGTTTTTTCCCCTTACATTGTTAAAAACATATTGAGAACAGGTCAGTAGAGTCCAGACTTTCAGATTTCAGAAACTAAAAGTGTGGACTATTACATGGTTACCAATTTTTTTATTATGCCCAAGTTGACACTAATAAAAGAACAAATACCAATTACTGTAAACTTCAGTTTGCAAAAGGAAATTTAATACCAAAAGCAATTGGAAAGGGCAGTATCCAAAAATCATGGGCTTTACATTCAATGAAATAAATTGTATAAGAAGCTTGTTATATTTTCACAAATTAGTGAAAATTCCCTCAAACCATTTCTGGTACCAAGATCACCATTCCTGATACCAAGATCATTGTGTGGAACTCAGTATTGACATTTGTGTGTGTGCATAAATTACTCTTATCCTGAAGAATTCCTATAAACAAGTGGACATTCTTCTACCCATGATTTTTAGACATAGAGCCTGCCACACATGCCCAGCTTCCCTCAGTTACTCCCTGAATACATAAAGTTAGTTCTTTTTCTCTTTTTACCCTCTCCTTATTCCCTTTCAATTTGTGGCTCCAGCAAACTGATTTTGACTTCTGAATGATTCTTTTGACTATAAGATAGTACACCAAATAAAACTGATTTTGCTTCTACTCTAAGCACACATGAATAAACACTAAGCATGTTCTTGAAATCAAGAAATAATTTGTCTTCCCTCCTTCATGAGATAAGTGGTATTATAAAATCCAGGTACTGTTATTTGCAGTCCTAGACTACTGAGAAGTCATAAACTGTACAAAACTGTACAGACTATCCATGGAAAACAAGGCTTCTGCCAAGTATATTAGATGAGTTGTACATGAAACAGTACAATAACTAGAATAAAATATGTCATATTTACATGTTTAAGCCGTGACTTCTAAGCATGGCTTGTGAGAAGAAGCAAATAGTGATGTCAATTCGTATTAGTGGATAAGATGCTAAAAGAAATGGTTAACATAGTTACAGGACTGTGAATTATTTAATACAGTCCTTCTAACCATAGTCTCTGTAACTCCCACCAAAAGACTTTCCCTTCATGGGTCTGGGTAGCAAGGTGTAGGGGAGATACTGATAGTATTAACGATTCTTGAGGGTGTTTGTTACCAGGATTCATTGTGATTGCCATCATGCTACGTATAAAATAAACCATCTCAGGAGCAGGGTGAGGGGGATCTCACAACCAGCAAGAACCAAGAAGGTAGTGCATCCTCTGAATCCCAAGATCCCTGTGCAGTGAACTTGCATAACTCGGGAGAGAGCTTTGACATCAGAGGCATGACAGAGCCGCCAGCAGCAGCAGAACAGAATCCAGAGCATGAGACAGAGCGGTGGACTCCCCAATCCACAGAGCAAGTAAAGCTGGGGGCTTTTGAGCGAGGCTGGCTTAGAGAGTGGGGTACCTCTGGGTACATAATTGGAGGAACTGGGCTTGCTGACCCATGGGAGCTGAAGCTGAGTGCCTTCAAGTTGAGGCTTACAGCAGAGTGGCATGCCCTTTGGTCAATTAATAGCACCTGTCCTATCTGAACAACTCTATCCTGAACTTTTCCACCTAAAATATAACCTGTTAACTTCCATAATAAACCTCACAATCATGATCATTGTGGGTTCTGTGTGATCTTTGCAATTAATTATATAACCTAAATGAAAACGTAAAGTGCTATGTGAGACGGTATGTCTTACAAATGGGAAGATATTCTAAAGAGATGAAATTACAAGAGCAAAAGTTCACAAATACATTTTAGATTGCTTCTCTATTTTGAATTTTCAGAAATGGAACACAGAACTTTAAAAGTCAGAAGTATAAGATAGTAAAGAAATTAAAGAAAAATCAAGTACCTTTTTTAAAGAAAGGAATTATAGATGGTCCTCCATTTTTTTCCAGACTGAAAGGAAAACATTTTTATTTAAAAAATTGGAATATGTAAAGACTTAGTACATCCATGTATCATCATGTTCAATGCCAAAGGTATAACTCATACATGCTATCTGTTTAGCATCCCCAATTGGAGACTGGTTTTGCTATTACAAAGCTGTATGATTATCTTGTTCACTAGATCATGCATTAAAATTTTTTATCTTGCATTCTGTTGACCAAATATCTTCATAACTGAATTACAGGTTTATCCATTATGTAGTAATTGATATTCAAATAATGATCAAAGATTATCCTGAGTCACCTGAACATTCAATTGTATTGTTATAAAGAATTAGAATAAATGTTTATTCAGCTTATTATGGAAATACTATTTTTCTGAATAATCATATCTTACAAAACAAAATGATACTCATATTTAAAGAAATATAAAAGTCTGAGATACCGTATGTCACATATCAGACCAAATTCAAAATCTGACAACACTGTTGGTAAACTCATACATTTCTGCTGAGTGTAAGGAGGGTCCTGGGAAC